GTTGCTGTGAGCTATGATGCTATGGCACTCTACCCAGGGTGACAGAGTGAGACTCTGTCTAATAAGCAAATGAATGAATAAATAAATAAGGGAAATAAAATGAATATTTAGAATGAGAAAAGGGGGCCCAGCATGGTGGCTTCACCTGTGATCCTAGCACTTTCAGAGGCCAAGGCAGGTGGATTGCTTGAGCTCAGAAGTTTGAGACCAGCCTGAGTGGGAATGAGACCCCTCTCTACTAAAAATAGAAAAAAAAATAGCTGGGCATCATGGCAAGAGCTATAGCCCAAGCTACTGGGAGCCTGAGACAGGAGGGTTGCTTGAGCCCAAGAGTTTGAGGTTGCTGTGAGCTATGATGCCAGAGCACTCTAGCCTGAGGCAACAGTGTCAGACTGTGTCTAAAAAAAAGAAGAAGAATCAATGGGCACCCAACAAGTTAGAAGTGAAGAACCAGTTTCTCTCTTGAAGATAATCTTTAGGCAGTTTCCCAGAAATTCATAAAAAAGTTCTCATGTCACAACTTGGTTTGCTCTGTCCATCAAAAACAGTCTGCAACTCCCAGCAACTCCCAGCACCCAGGTACACCTGCAAGCCAAGAACTCTACAACTAATCTTCCTTAGTTTTTTTTCTGTCTGCCTCACAGGCTCCTGCACTTATCTCAGGCAAAGATAATGGTGGAAGTGACTTTTGGGCAGTGATAGCACTCCGGAAGAATGTTAGAAGTGACCCTATCATTGTGGCTTCCCTTTCCTCTGAGACATCGTCTTTTCTGGGAACTTCTAGGGTTGCTCCTGTTTTCTCAGTGATGAGTCCTGGCTCAGTTGCAGCTCTTTTTTGTGAGTGAGGTGCCTTCATTGCTCTTCTGCACCTCTGGGTTAGCATCTGTACCTTGAGTGCCACCATCATTTTGTCCTCATCCTCAGCTTTCCCTCTTACTTCTAAATTCATCTCTTCTGGCTCAGTGAAGTAGGGTGCCAGCCACATGCACTGAGGCTGGTAGGTTTGAGCCTGACCAGGGCCAGCTAAACAACAATGACAACTGCAAGAAAGAACAAATAGTTGGACATTGTGATGGGCGCCTGTAGTCCCAGCTACTCGGGAGGCTGAGGCAAGAGAATCGCTTAAGCCCAAGAGTTTGAGGTTGCTGTGAACTGTGATGCCACAGCACTCTACCGGGGGAGACATAGTGAAACCCTGTCTCTAAATAAATAAATTCATCTCTTCTGTGAATATTTATTTTTTAATTAACAAAGCAAGTATATTGGCTTCCTGCCGGCCTAATGTTCTCCCCTTACCAGTTGTGTCATTACTCTATATTTTTGTTGTTGTGAGACAGAGTCTCACTCTGTTGTCCAGGCTGGAGGGCTGGAGTGCAGTGTGGTGAACATACCTCACTGTAACCTAGAACTCCTGGGCTCAAGCAATTCTCACACCGTGGACTACCAAGGCACTGGAATTACAGGCATGAGCCTCAGTGCCCAGATCTACCCCATTTTTAAGCCTAAATTTTCTCATCTATTTAATGAGAATTATATGAGAGGAGCTGGGTGCTGTGGCTCATGCCTGTAATCCTAGCACTATGGGAGGCTGAGGCAGTGGATCCTCTGAACTCAGGAGTTCAAGACCAGCCTGAGGAAAAGTGAGATTTCATCTCTGCTAAATATAGAATAAGTAGCTGGTGTTGTGGTGGGAGCTTGTAGTCCCAGCTGCTTAGAAGGCTGAGGCAATAGGATTGCTTGAGCCCAAGAGTTTGAGGTTGCTGTGAGCTATGATGTTACAGCACTCTACTGAGACTGTCACTCAAAGTGAGACTGTCTTGGAAAAGAAAGAGAGGAGAGAGAGAGACAAAGAATTATATGAGAAAGATTGAAGATTTATGCAATTTTGTGTGCCCAGAGTGACACATTGCTAATCTTTGATACCTACTGTCACTGTTTTTATTTTTGTTGTTGTTGTTTTGTTGTTGTTGCAGTTTTTGGCCAGGGTGGGGCCTGAATCCACCACCTCCAGTATATAGGGCTGGCTTGAGCCACAGGCGCCACCCCGTCACTGTTTTTATTATCAGGTGTCTTTTCCTGTGGATTATCAACTCCAAGTTGGGCTCTGCTCCGAGATCTGCCAGTTTTATAAATAGTACCATCTGAGGTGTGTCTAAGTTGGGACCAAGCCCTACTCGTCTGCTAGTCAGACATGTCAGGATTGCAGGCTGCCAGGAAGAAGGCTGCTAGGAGGGTGCAGAGTTCCAGTTGGAAAAAGATGTGGAGAGACCTACAGGAGGGACATGGCAGGAAAAATTTCCTCTTAAGTAGAGGCATATATTCATGATTCTGCCAGGAAAAAAAGACCCTGGTTCACTCCTACTCATCCTTTGCATCTCAGCTCAGATAGCCCCTTCCTCAGGAAGCTCTCCTGACCTCCCTGGGCTAGGTCAGGCAGCTGCCTCCTCTTGTGTCTTATGCCCCCTAGCCTTCCCCAGACCAGCCTTGGTCACTGTGCCTGTGCTTCCCTCCTTACAGCCCTGGCCACCCAGGCTGTCACTATTGGTGTGCCTGTCTTTCCTATTAGACTGGGAGCCTCATGAGGGCATGGGCCCAGAATTGTCTTGGTCACTACTGTGTCTTCAGTTTTACCAAGCGTGCTTCGGGCACAAAGTGGATGCTGAACAAAGATGTGGTGAATAGCTAAGGATCCCCACTCTGTCCATGAGGGCTCAGGAGACACTTTCCTCTATGGTGCACGCCATTCCCACTTCAGGGCACACGACTTGGCGAACGGAGGGAGAACTAGATTTCAGTTTGCTCCTTGTCTTCCCAGCCACGCACCTCGATGCAGGGCACCATGCCCCTGATGATTTGGCAAGCGACTCCTTCACCTGCGCGTGGAAAGAGTTGGGATTTGCTCTGACGTAGGGAACCGGGAGGAAAAGAAGGGAGGAATGGAAGGGATAGAATACCTCCACCCTTTGCATCCTGTTAGTCTCCTGGGTCCCGGAGCCAGACTCCACCCTCTCCGTCCTAACACCTGGCGTCTGGGCGTGCCTCAGTTTCCCGGAGGCGGGACGTCCCTCTATGCCCTCCTCCCCTTGTTTCTCTTCCTCTTCAGGACATCTGTGGCGCGCCTCGAGCACTCCCGGAACTGAAACAAGGTGCCGGGCGGTCGGGAGGCGGGGGCCACGTCAGCGGGGCCTCCCGGGGCTGTGCGGGGTCCCGGCGGGCGCCATGCGGCGGGGGGTGCTCCTGGCGTGCGCCCTGGTGGCCTACGCCGCGTACCTGGTGCTGGGCGCGCTGCTGGTTGCGCAGCTGGAGGGGCCGCACGAAGCCCAGCTCCGAGCCGAGCTGGAGACTCTGCGGGAGCAGCTGCTGCGGCTCAGCCCGTGTGTGGAGGCCTCCGCCCTGGACGCTTTCGTGGAGCGGGTGCTGGCGGCCGGACGGCTGGGGCGCACAGTGCTAGCCAACGCTTCGGGGTCCGCCAACGACTCAGACCCCGCCTGGGACTTTGCTTCGGCTCTTTTCTTCGCCAGCACGCTGGTCACCACCGTGGGTACGTGAGCGCCACCCCCGCTCCCCAAGCCAACGAAGACTGGGGACCCCCATTTCGTCCCCGCTCCCTGGGAGCCCTCATGAAATACCTGTGTCCCAATCCCCTCTGGGTCTAGGTTCCCTTCAACTGTCCCGCCCCCCAGCGAGGACTTGGGACTACATTCACCATATCTGTCCCCCTCGGAGAGGCCTCGTCTGAGCCCGTCCTCCTAAACAGGAAACACCCCCAGTTCACTCGAGAACAGGACTCCCTCAGAGTACTTTGCATCGAGCATCTGGAACTACATCCCTCGGTGCCCCTGGGGACCCAGGTCACCCAGTCCCTTATAGACTTAGGACTGTCCTCTGAGGCATCCAGCAAGGACCCTGCACTCGAGATCCATGCTTCCTCTGGACCTGGGCTTCAGCCACACCAGAACTTCTGTCCTTATCTCTAGGCTGGACCTCTGTCTTTTTCAACAACTCTCCAGATATGTCTGTCCAGGAAAACCCCCTGGGAAACCCCACCCCAGTCTCCTCCTGCCCCTGGTCCACCAGTGAGAACCCTGAATCTCCAGATCTCTCAGGGAGCCATTACTAATAGAGATCCCTCAGTAAGGACCTGGAGCTCCCATCCTGGACTCACCCCACTAGACTGAGAACACTCTCCAGCAAGGGGCCCTGCCCTTCTCTAGAACAAGGACCACCTCCATCCCTCCCTGGCCCCACACTCCCCAGAATATAACTATACTCCAGACATAAGACCCTACCTACCTACCCCACCCATCTGTCTCCCCATACAGGATTTTCCTCCCAAGAGGGACACAAGTGTTCCCTTTGGATCGGAGACTCCCAGTTCAACAGGCCCAACTATGGCTGTCATCCTGGAAAGTCTAGGAAAGCCAGACTTGGAAAACCCCTTTGTTGTCAGACTCTGCTGCTTCCACAGCCCTTCCTTAACCCCCAAAATTACCCCCCATTTTTTTTGAGATAGAATCTCACTCTGTCATCCTGGACAGAGTGCCGTGGCATTATCATAGCTCACAGCAACCTCAAATTCCTAGATTCAAGCTATCCTCCTATTTCAGCCTAGTCCCAGAGTAGCTAGGACTGTAGCCACCACAACACCTGGCTAGTTTTTCTATTCAAACTTCTGTTTTGTCTCCTTATTTGGGATATGGAACTGGCAGGCGGCTGGGGCAGGGCTAATGGCAACTTTTGCCGTTGGTATCCTATTGTGTGGACCAGCAAAACAAGATCACAGGCAGCAGAGCTGAATGACTTGTCATAGGCTAGAATTAGCCGACCCTCCCTGGGGCTTACTCTTCCCCACGCTGCCAGGGCAGCCTGACCTGCTTCTGGGTTCCCTAGGTCACATGAGTGCCTCCTACCTCCACCCAGATCCTGGCCTCTTAGAAGTCTTTCCTGGGGCTCAGCGCCTGTGGCTCATGTGGCTGAGGCACCAGCCACATACACCTAAGGTGGCAGGTTCGAATCCAGCCCAGGCCCACCAAAACAACAATGATGGCTGCAACCAAAAAATAGCCAAGCGTTGTGGCGGGCGCCTGTGATCCCAGCTACTTGGGAGGCGGAGGCAGGAGACTCGCTTGAACCCAGGAGTTGGAGGTAGCTGTGAGCTGTGATGCTACAGCACTCTACCCAGGGGGACAGCTTGAAGCTCTGTCTCAAAAAAAAAAAAAAAAAAAAAAAAGAAGTATTTCCAGGCAGAGCAGGTGGTGTCCTATCTAGGACTGCACATCTCGAGGCCTCAGTGTCCTCCCTCATCTGTAAAATGGGGATAATAACACTCCTCACTTCACAGTACTCAATCAGGACAACAGCTTTATAAGGCAGATGCGATATTTTTAACCTTGCAAACTAAGACCCAGATAATTTTGGGCAGTTTGCCCAGGGTCACACAACTAGAAAAGTGTAGAGTGGTGATTTGAACCAAGGCCATCAGGCTCTAGTCCTGTGCTCTTCAGTAACATACCATACTACTTGGCATAAAGAAGGGTAATGTGTGCGTTATTGAAAAAAATTATTCAGACACTTGTTAAAAGTGGAAAGTTATTGCTCTAGAGGAGAGACTCTTCAAAGGCAGAGAAACTGAAACTAGCAAAAAGGCAGCTGTAAATTTATAGCTAGTGAGCAGAGGGGGTCAGTAGAGGGGAAACTATTAAGAGAAGAGACATTAGAAGAGAGGGATTCCAGCTAAACTTGGCTGAACAATATTCTTGCTAAAGACAAGCAAGGGAACTTAGAGGATCAAGAGTGGTGAGCCACCACAGCCGGCAATATTTAAAATTTTTTGTTTAAGGCTTGGTGCCTGTGGCTCAAGTGGCTAAGGCACCAGCCACATACACCTGAGCTCACAGGTTCAAACCCAGCCTGGGCCCGCCAAACAACAACGGCCAACCAAAAATCGCAAATCCCTGTTGCTCCAGAGGTGAAATAAACAAATTTATTTAAAAAAAAATTTTTTTTTGTTTAAAAAATTAAACAGACAGAATCTTGCTGTATTGCCAGGGCTAGCCTCAAACTCCTGGCCTCAAGTGATCCTCTTGCCTTGGGATCCAAAAGTGCTGGGATTATAGGTGTGAGCCACCTCACCCAGCCAACTGATATTTATTGAGTCTCAATAAATATGTGGGTGGAGCCAGGAGAGATCCCTGAATGCATCTGGTGAGATGGAAAACCAACTACATGTCATTCAGAGAGACCTCTTCCCACAGTGTGCCTCATTTTGTCCTAGGCCAAAGTCTTAGTCTTGGTCTTGGAATTGATGCAGGCAGCCTTTCTGCAATTGACAAAAGAGGGGGAAGATGGTCCTGCCTGGAAGGTGGGGGGCAGGGCACTAGTAGTGCAGTCACTGTGATTCTTCCTATACTCTTTTTTTTTTTT